AGATAGATAGATAGATAGATAGATAGATAGATAGATAGATAGATAGACAGATAAATAAAGAACAAAATAGTTGAGCAGCAATGTCAGGAAATGATAACTACATGAGACTGGTGTTTACCTTTGGGCTAGAAAGCTCTGCATTAAGCTGAAAGTCAGCACTGCCAGACTGGAAGGAAAGGCCAACAGTCTCTTCAGTGAGCGGCACTGAGGAGTATGGGGCATCCTCTTACCATTCTGCGATCTCCCTGCTGGACACACCAGAAAGAAATGAAATCAGCACCCTAGAGACACACCTGCTCCACCTGCTCCCAAGTTCCTGGCAGTTCATCCACAACAGCCAAATAGGAAACTGAGTACCCATCAGAGGATGGATGGACAATGTCAACTCCAGGCAAAAAGGAAAAAAACAGGGTGAAGAGAAATAAAAGGCTCTATGCAGGGGGACCCTGCTGCCAACTGTGGAGGCAAGTCCCACCTTGAGAGAGTCTCCTCACCATCCACCCCTTCACACACCAGGCTAGTTGGTCTGGGAGCTGCTAGACTGCCCTCTTCCAGCCCCATTAGAGAACTGGCATTACAGACCACAGGATCTTGACTGGCTCTTGTGTGAATTCCGGGAAATCAATCTCATTTTCACACATGGGCAGCAAGCATTTTACAGACTGAGCCATTTCCCTAGACCAAGGGTATATTCTTAGAGCTGTATAGGTCGAGCTGTATAGGTCAGTGTATATAGCACTGAGAACCAGTTAGTAATACTGCACCATATACTAACATTTTTATTTTAAAAAACTTCAGTGTTCTTACAAAAGAAAAAATTTGTACCATGGAAGGCCATGATGTCCATCTCCTTAACTACAATAGTCATTACACTATGCAGTACTTCAAAGCATTATGCTGTGTACCTTACATGCATACAGTAAAAAAACAAACCATGTCCAGAAATAGATCTAGATAAATATAGAAAACTGACACATAACTAAGGAGGCATTTTCAATCTTTAAGAAAGAACAAGTTATTCAATAAATGAAGCCAACCAAACTGGCTATAACTTTTTTATATAATATAGGCAAAACTTGTAAGAGTTTAATTTTATAGACAATTTTCAGGACAGAAAGTACTGGCCCCACCAGAACATTTAAAAAAATGTTCTGTAGAAAACATCAAAATGTTAAACCTCCAAACTTTCAGATTAGCACTTACACATTCATATGAAAATACTAGCACATTGCCCCAAAACAAACGATGTTCATTACACAGTTTATGAGAGCAAAAATACTGAAAGTAATTACTATGACAAATTGAAAGTCAAATGACGGCAAGCCCCTAACATGGAATACTGAGTAGTGAATAAAAGAATAAAACAGACCTTTGTGTATTAATGGGATCTCTAAGATACATACTAGGTGAGACAGGAAAAGCTGTCAATTAGTTACTATTTAATTGTAATATAACATGAAATTCTGTATTCACTTATCTCTGGGTATGAAAGTACCAGTTCCATACCCTTCACTTCCCCCACTTCTACCTCAGAAAGCAATGTGAATAGATATTCAAGTCTCATAAAAAATGATAAATGTTTGCATTTATATATATATTATATATATGTATATATAATATATATACACATACATATAACATATACACATATATAATACATATGTTATATAGGATGTATTGTATAGTATACATGTATTATATATGATATATATAATATGTCATACATTATATTATACTACTCTATATTATATTACACATAATATACACATGTAATATATGTTATGGCATATGATACATTAATGTATGTATGTTGCATATATTATATTACATATATCATATATTACATATAATATATATACTATATATACATAATATATACATAGTATGATAATATACTATATGATATATATTATATGTAATATAATATGTGGTAATGTAATATATAACATATATTGTATGCTGTATTATATATGATATGTATTATATAATGTTGTGGCATGTGTGATATATTATATATAAGATATATTATATATTATAATCATACTGTATGTTTTAAATAATAGCTATATAATATGATTATATTATATATAACACATACCATATATGTAACATATACACATATATGTATATGAACATATATACAAAACACATATACATATTCCTGTATATGTTAAAATACTTCTGAGTTTCTCAGACATAACGTAATGTGTTATGTAATTATTATACTATCATGCTGATTAGGAAATAGTATAAGAGAAAAAGTGATTCATTACAGACAGACACATAAAAACTAGCTATTTCTGAATAGTCAGTTAAATATGCAAATGTGAAGCAGAAAATAAATAATAAACACTGCTTGACATCTTTTTAAAATATCCCAAGAACAAATATATCATAAGATTTTTTGTTTTTTTAAGAAAAGTAAATAAGAATAAAAGGAGGAAAAACAGGCTAGTTATCTCAACACTAGGGACCTTGGTAAGAGACTACCTGCCTAGTTTACATGGGGTCTGGACTCAGTGCCAACATTACAAAAAGTAAATACATACGTGCGTTCATACTAAGAAAGAAGGTAAAAGACCTACTGTGTACAGTAAATTTTAATAGTGTTCTACTCTCCTAAATTTAGCCTTCCCTAAACTTAAATGCATTAGCACTAAAACCTTCTGGTTAGAACTGACCTCATCAGCAGTACGAGAGGTAAAACCTAAGACCAACAGGAATTATTCATGACAATCAGTTGGCAGATAAGAAATATAAGCCAGGGGCTGGAGAGATGGCTCAGAGGTTAAGAACACTGGCTGCTCTTCCAAAGGTCCTGAGTTCAATTCCCAACAACCACATGGTGGCTCACAACCATCTATAATGAGATCTGGTGCTGTCTTCTGGCATGCAGGCACAGATACAAGCAGAACACTATATACATAATAAATAAATCTTTAAGAAAAAAAAAAAAGAAATATAAGCCAGGTCTCAGTTCTCTGGCCCACCATCCTCTGACTATAATTACTGGTTCTAAGGAAGTCAAATAGCAATATACTTAGGATTCTATTTCCATACTGAGAGAAAGGACACTTGCTTCTGGCTAGATATGAAGGAAGAACTGTATATTCAAAGCTGACAAAGGCTGCCATCTTTCAAACATAAAGTTAACCGCCATGAAGATGGCTTCATAGTAGGTCAGAAAGCTAGTCAAAGCCTAGCTATTTGAAGGTCATGCTGCCTCAGGAAGCATCATTTAAGAGACCAACAAATAACTTGCTAGGGCTGAAGTGAGTTTGACTCTGGATTTTCCACTGAAAATGTTCTTGTTAATGAGAGGGAATAATTAGTACTCTACAACCATCTTTTGTTAGAATGTTCTGAGCATCAAATCTGTGGCTTTCTGCATGTTAGGCACATGCTCCACCACTGAGCCGCATCCAGAGCCCTAACAACACACCCTGCTCTAATTTCTTAAAGTCTGTCTGAAGTTCTTTTCTGTAGCTACTGTGACTTGATTCTTCCCTAACGACAGGTTACTCAAATTTTTCACTATAGATATTTTTCAGTGAACTTCCTCCTGTACATGAGTATCTTTAGCCATTATTTCCATGGGGGTAAATTCAGTTACTAGGTCACAGACTACTCTTGCTCTTTGGCTGGGATTAATTGGCATGAGGAACCCAGACATTTGGCTAAAATTCAGGCAGGACTGGTGATCTAGCCTCAATGGTAGAATATTTACCCAGCACACGTGAAGCCGTGGGTTCATACCAGTCTATCCTGGGGAGAGTAGTGGGAAGAGAATAGGACACAGATCTGTCCTCGGCCTCAGCTTCAGACTGGCAATCGTACCATCAGCTCTCCTACTTTGTGTAAATCCTCCTCCCTGTCCTCACCTCCATGGTGACAGCCTTAGTTCAATCCATAAACCTTTGGGAAGGTGGGGAGGTGGCTGTTTCCTTTTTTGTTTTTGTTGTTGATTGAGACAGTCTCTTGCTATGGCGCCCAGACCAGTCTAGTATTCCCTATGTGCTATTCCTTAACCTTGAACTTTTTGCAATGCTCTGCCTCAGCCCAAGGACTGGGAATGCAGATGAATACCACCACGCCTGTTCAGCCCATACAGCAGATGGATAGCCTCAACTCAAAACAATAGCCACAGTGACTCTGCTTAAATGTAAGGATTAAATAGAATGACCAAGTGAGATTTAACCCCAGAAATACTAGGATGGTTCAACATAAGAAAAGTGGCCAATAATTCACATCAGACATATAAAGGAAAAACCACTACATGTTTATCTCAACTTACACAAAAAAACATGTACTTGATAAAAATTAACAGTTTTTCATTAAAATGCAAAACAATAACAAAAGGCAATGTCTTCAACATAAAAAATAGCATTTATAATGAACCTACAGAAAACACCACTGAGTACAAAACAACTTTTTCCTTAAGGATATCCATTTTTACCTGTGCTACTCAATATTGTATTGAAAGTTGTAGACAGGGTAACTATGAATGATTTGCTTTTAAGGGGCATCTGTGACCATTAGTCTTTGCTGTCAACTTGACAGTGATCTGGAATGAACTAAGAGATAAGCCGCTGGACACACCTATAAGGTGTGTTCTTAATCAGGTTATTTGAAGCAGAAAGACCCAACCTCACTATAGTCGGCATCTTCCGGTGGTAGCCAGATAAGGGAATATCTGGGGGTTAGCTTTGCCTCTTGCTTTGCTGCCTTCAAGTCTTGCTGGTGAGTCCATTTACTGTTGATAATGTTATCTACACTGAAAGCTCATGTATCCTGTTGCTGCTGCTATCACTGCTGTAATATTCCCTCATTGATACCAAAAGCTTCATCAGGCTTCCAATACAGACTGAAGAGCAGAGCTCTCCAGGAATCATCCAGGCCTTCAGCACTGGGCTGGGGCTGTTGACACATGCAGTTTCTTGCATGGAACAGCGACAGAGTTCTCAGCCTCTACAGTAAGAAGGCTGCCGTTGCTGAAATACCCAGACTATAATGTATAAGCCAATCTAATGAATCTTTGTTTAATATAGATTTATTCTGTTGGCTCTCTAGAGCAGTGGTTCTCAACCTGTGGGTCACAACCCATGTGGGATTTGAATGACCTTTTCACAGGGGTCACCTAAGACCATCTGCATAATCAGATATACATTATGATTCATAGCAGTAGCAAAGTTATGTTATGAAGTAGCAATGACAACAAGTTTATGTTGGGGATCACCATAATATGAGGAACTGTATGAAGGGTCACAACATTACGAAGGTTGAGAACCACTGGTTTAGAGAACCATGACTAATATACAGCATCTAAACTAGAAAGAAGTAAAAATTGTTTCTATCTTAATAGGTAGCAAAATCCTGTACGTAAAAACCCTAGGGAACTGACAAGAAAGCTACTAAACCTAACAAGAACATTCAACAAAGTCACAGAGTACAAAATCAACACAGAAATACCAGCTGTTTTTATATACCAAAATGAATAATCTGAAAGAAAGCAATGCCATTTACAACAGTTTATAATATCTAGAAATAAATTTAAACAAGCACATTTAAATAAAACAGGTGTGTTCATTGTAACTACATTCCCACATGTAAAAGAGTAAAATTGAGCCTTTAACTCAAATCAAATACAAAAATTAACTCAAATATAAGAGCTAAAACTAAAAAAAAAGTAAAATTAAAAGAGAATATGGATGAAATATTCATAGATATGGTAATAAATTTCTTAGATATGCTTACAAGGGTACAACTATAAAAAGATAATAAACTGAACATCATCAAAATTTCACACTTCAGGAATCAACATTATCAAAAAGAGAAAAAGTGTCCAGCATTGTAAAGCATGCCTATAATCCCAGCACTTGGTAAGCAAAGGCAGGAGGATCTTCAGTTCCAGGACAATTTGAGCTACATATTGAGACCCTATCTCTACATCCCCCACAAAGAAAAACACACATACACACACACAAAACATGATAGATTATTTGCATATTATATATATGATGTCTATTTTATACTCAAATGAAGAGCTCCACCCACTCAACAACTTAAGAAGCTCAACCTTGAAAATGGACAAAGGGCTCTAATATACATACTTGGCCAAAAAGGAGTAGCCATTAAATGCATGAAAAGCTGCTCATGACATCAGTCATTAAAAAAAATACAAGCCAAAACAAAAATAAATACGTCTCCACATGACCCTCCAGGAGGAACAAGTAGTGCAATAGATTTGACAAGGACGAGGGGAATCTGAGACATTTGTACAACACCACTGTGAGAAAAGTTCAGGCGTTACTTAAAAACCAGAAAGTCCATTCCCATATACAGACATCATCAAAAAAATATTAAAACAGGGACACAGATACCCACACAACAACATCCAAGTCAGTAATACTCACAATAGACAAAAGAAACAATCTACCAATATTTGAAAGGATAAGCAAAATATGGCCTTTACATAAATAATGAACTATAATTCAGCCTTAATATAGTAATTAAACTCAGCTATAAGTCACAGAATAGATGGACCTTTTGGTTTAGTTTGGTGTGTGTGTGTGTGTGTGTGTGTGTGTGTGTGTGTGTGTGTGTGTTTGGTTTTGTTGTTGTTGTTAAGACAGGGTTTCTCTGTATAGTCTTGGAACTCACTCTGTAGACCAGGCTGGCCTCAAACGCACAGTGATCCACCTCTGCCTCACCATGACCCACACAGATGGACCTTGAAAACACATTGAGCCACATCTGTCAGATCAAAGAAGCAAATATTTATGGTTCTATTTACATAAATTATCTAAAATGGTTGGATTCATAAGAAAGGTGATATATTACAAATTACTGGGACCTGGGAAGAGGAGGCAATGTTGTTATTTCTTTATGGTTATAGGGTTCCTGCTTAGGATGAAGAGAAATTTCTGGAAACAGGGCTAGGGTGTAAAGAGTAGGTATTTAGCATGGGCAGTGCCCAGCATCCGAAAACAAACAAGAACCCAGAGCAACAACAAAAACACTGCAGAAATAGATTGTGGCGACATTTGCACATGAAGACAATGATTTAATATCACTGAATCGTACTGAAAACTATTAAGATGGCAAATTATAGTGTGTGTGTGTGTGTGTGTGTGTGTGTGTGTGTGTGTGTTCCTGACGACTCGCCAACAGCTTCCCAACCCTTCAGAATGACACACCAAACTTCCAACAGTCAACAAATCGTGTCTGGTCTGTACCAGCAGGCCCCTTTCCTCTGCCTTATAGGTTGCCCTTAACTATAAGCAGCCTCCTTCAGGCAGTTTGCACTTTTTTCCCTCGGGAGAGCCACAAGATGATCTCTCACTTCCTTCACAGAGAGGAGCTATCGGAAAATGAGAGCTCCCAGTCCCCATGGGCCCTAGTCTCTCTCTCTTTCATTTTCACTTGGACATATTGCACTAGGCATTTTGCGTGTCATTTCCGCTAAAATTTAAGCTCAAAAAGAGTAAATTTCTCTCTCTGTTTTACTCATTTTGTTATCTCTGTGCTGAATTCGCACAGAGCTGGGGTGCCATTCAACAGTGGGGCGATGTTTCAAGCAGGTGAGCAGTCAGGAGTTCCACCCTAAAGGGAAGAGCAGACCTGGGGTGGGGCGTGGGGGCCACTAGTATTCAATGTGGTCAGGAGAACACCACAGGGGAGGCAGCACTGTCTTGAGTTCGAGGGCAGCCTGGGATAAAAGTGCGAAGGACTGTAGCAAAAAAAAAAAAAAAAAAAAAAAGCCTAAATGACTATAATTCGGGAACTCTGAGTTAGCATCCTCAAGATTTTACTGCTCTCCAGGTTTTTACACATCTCGCGTATCGGAGAACAACTCACATTCAACAAGACAAAAAGCCCAAAGCACGACTTGAACTTAAAAGACCCAATACAGTTTGCGCAATCCTGGAAAGCGGAAAGCATGACTGTAAGAGCCCGAGAAACAGCAGCTGGAGGCGGAAGAGGCGGGAAACTATGCTAACTGACGGGCTCAGAGGAGGCCTGTGGCTCCGAGGCCCCTTTTGCTGGGAGCTGAAGGAGAAAGGAGGCAGGCTTCCTTTCCAGGAATCTCCCCAACACAAACCCAGGGGTCTGCCCCGCGGGCCAGAGGGCCAGGGGGCCAAGATGCAAGGCAATCGCCCAGGGTATGCAGAGGTGAGAAGCAAAAGCGGGGAAGACACGTTACCCTGAGAAGAGCCAGATCAACGGGTCTTCTCCTTCAGCAGGATGACCTATGGACGGCTGAGGACAAATGCCCACGACCCAGGCACCGGGCGAGGCCCCACATTTACTAACTTCACCCCAACTGGCGCCTAGGTGCTCTTCTGCTCTGGAGACTGCCCTTCCCCGCACTCCGCCCGCGGCCCCGCCCAACCTCTCAGAGCTCCGCCGCCCTCCCACCGCAGCCATCCCTGTCGGCCGGCGCAGCGCGCCTGCTCAAAACAACCTAACGGCCGCTGGGCACGCTGGGAAATGTAGTCTCAACGCAGGTGCGGGCGAGCCGCGGGAAGTCACAACGCTCCCGCCACCTCTCCGGCCGGCTCTCACGCACGCCGGGTCCCCGCGCGCTGGCTGCTGTCAGGGCGCGCCCGGGAGGCAGAGTCCGAGCCCCGCTCTTTCCGCTAGAGCGGCTGGGGAGGCGGGGTCCGCAGCCCGGCCCCTCCGGCAGCTCCCCGCCTCCCTCCCGCCCTCCCCGCGGCGTCGGGCCGGTACCCGAATCCAGGCAGCGGCCGCAGGAGGCGCGGCGGCGGCGGTGGGCGCCGCAGGCGATGCCCCTGCCCCGCTGCTCCGGCGCGGGGCAGAGCGCGCGGCGGCGGCGGCGGCGGGGAAGGAGGCGGGGGGCGGCGGCTGCGGCGGCGGAGGGGCCGAGAGCTGGCGGCGGCGGCGACGGTGGTCGTGAAGGGCATCGGTGGCGGTGACGACGGAGATGATGTGAGTGTCGGCTGGCTGGGGACCCCCCCTCGGGGGTGGGGAGAGGACTGCCGAGCCCGAGCTGGCGGCCGGCGGCATACGGGAATCGGAACGGGAGGCCCGGGGAGGCTGAGGGATGCTCCGTGCGCGGTGCGGAGCCGGCCTCGGCCGGAGCGCAAGAGCCGGGCCAGAGTCAGGGTACCGGGCGGCGGCGGCGGCGGGGGCAGTGCGGACCCAGGGGCGTCTGCGATTGTTCTCAACACCCCTCCCCCATCCCACCCCGTGTGTCTGTTTGTCACTTGCAGCTGAAGATGGAAAGAGCGAGGCGAAGGGGAGGCGGCGGCGGCGGCGGCGGCCGTGGCCGCGGAGGCAAGAATGTAGGGGGCTCTGGCCTAAGCAAGAGTAGACTCTATCCCCAGGCCCAACACTCTCACTACCCCCACTACTCCACGTCAGCCACCCCTAATCAGGCTGGGGGCGCATCCGAAATCCAGGAGCTGGCCTCCAAACGAGTGGACATCCAGAAAAAGAGGTTCTACCTAGACGTGAAGCAAAGCTCCCGGGGCCGCTTCCTAAAGATAGCTGAAGTCTGGATAGGGAGAGGTCGGCAGGACAATATCAGAAAGAGTAAACTGACCCTCTCCCTGTCGGTGGCAGCAGAGCTGAAGGACTGTCTAGGCGACTTCATCGAGCACTATGCCCACCTGGGCCTGAAAGGCCACAGGCAAGAGCATGGCCAGAGCAAAGAGCAAGTCTCCAGGAGGAGGCAGAAGCACCCTGCACCCTCCCCGCCTGTGTCCGTGGGCTCGGAAGAGCATCCTCACAGCGTCCTCAAAACGGACTATATAGAGAGGGACAATAGGAAATACTACCTAGACCTAAAGGAGAACCAACGAGGTCGCTTCCTAAGGATTAGACAGACCATGATGCGGGGCACTGGCATGATAGGTTATTTTGGCCACAGTTTGGGCCAGGAACAGACTATTGTCCTCCCAGCACAAGGAATGATTGAATTTCGAGATGCCTTGGTCCAGTTGATCGAAGACTACGGAGAAGGAGACATAGAAGAACGAAGGTGCGGAGACGACGACCCGCTTGAGCTCCCAGAGGGGACCTCTTTCAGAGTGGACAATAAAAGGTTCTACTTTGATGTGGGCTCTAATAAATATGGAATTTTCCTGAAGGTAAGTGAGGTGAGGCCGCCTTACCGTAATACTATTACTGTTCCGTTCAAAGCTTGGACAAGGTTTGGGGAGAATTTTATCAAGTATGAAGAAGAGATGAGGAAAATTTGCAACAGCCATAAAGAAAAGAGAATGGATGGCAGAAGGGCCAGTGGTGAAGAACAAGAATGCCTCGACTAGCATGAAATTGAACTCCATCAGGCAAAATTTAGGAATCATTAATTGGCTAAAAGTACTGATCCATAATCATTTGAAGAAGTTTTCCTCCTTTGGGCCCTATGTTATTAGTAATACCTCTCATAGTTTATACTTCAAGAAGTCTGACTCTCATGTTATGTTATACATAGATCACTATAATTCTCAGGGGAATTCCAACCTCCCCAGAGCCAAATAGTTTAGCTGCTTCAACTGCTCCAGACTATTGAAGTATGCAGATCAGCACAAAATGTGACATTCTGACCTTTAAACACCATAACTAAGATTTACATTGCACTATGACATAATCCTGAAAATGACGCATATACTTAATATGAAAGTGTGGATTTCTATTTAACAAATCCCGCCCCCAAAGAAAATCCCATTTATACTTTGTTAAAAGTTGCTAGGTTTACCTGTAGGGTAGTTACCACAGAAACAGAAATTGACCTCAAGTATAGTATATTTCTTTATAAAGTTGTTTATTGGGTAACAATATTAACTAGTACCACTAAAAGATCAAATCTTGCTAGATAATTAAACCTTTAAAAATACGATATCATATTCCTTAACAGTTACTATATATAGTATTCTATAATTTCAAATTTTGTGGTAACCCTACAGTTTTAGTTGCCATATCAAAGCCATGGAAGAGTTTTAATTCATTATTCTAAACTAGTTACAGTCTAATCTCCTGTTTCCGGTACTATATATTTTATTGATTTTCCAAAGCTTTGGCAATCATGTCACTGTTGAGGGTGGCTTCACCCAGTGGCTTTGCTATGGAAATTTTGATGTTTTAGCCTTTTGTGATAATTTGCAATTGCTTTTCCTTAAAATCTGTTATGGACTATCAAAATGTTGTATTTTCTGCTTCCCCATTCATGTATTTCATAGGCTTGGTACACCAGTTTACTGGTGTAAAAAAAGATCTGCTGATATATTTTAGTAGCACTTTTGCATTTGCCGCCCCTAAAACCAGGTCAAACTTCCAGTATAAACCTGATTTTTACAGATACTTTAACTCCAGAAGAAAAACCTTTTTTTTTTTTTTTTTTTTGGCTAAGAAAAAAAGCATTTAGAATACAAAATTGTAGTCTGGGAAATACAATATTTGGAAATAAGATTGGTTATAAACATTTAAAAGGAAAATTCAGGCATTTTCCAAGGTGCTCCTTAAGATCCTTAAAGAGGTTTACACTATACAAGATGTATCCATTTGCCTGTATTAAAAATCACTTTCCAGAAAGTGCCACCTGAATTTTTAAACACTCAAGCAATTTTTAAACAAGTGGGTATAGTATATATACTTACCAACACCCCTTATTAACCGACTGGAATTTCATCTTTTGGGCTACATTTTATTCTAAATCAAACTGTTTTGTAATGGGATCAGCTGCTTCCCCACAGTCCATATCATCATGTTTGAGAGACAGACGCTGATTTCAGCTCCCCAAATACGTTCTCCTTGGTGAGAGCTGGCTACAAAGATTGAGCTCAGAATGTGGCTCTTCTCTGATATGCTCTAAGTAATTCAGAATTTCCTTTAACAAGTCTCCCTCCAGAACTTTTCTGCAAAAACGTTAAACTAAGGTCTCTAAGGAAACTATGGAATGAATTAAGAAAATTAATTTCACTGGTTTATGTTAAGAACAAGCAACTAATAACCCAGACATACAGACTGGTGTTGGTTGCAGATTCTTTTTCACGTTTCTTGAAGTACTATGATGGAATCTCACTCAGTTCATTCTCATTGTGAACCACCGGGGTCATTTTGGAACAGCTGAAAGTTAGAAGATAATATCAGCAGTAGAGTTAATAGCACGTGGTGGGTATTGAGACTCTAAAAGTAGCAAGGATTCTTACACAGTCCTAACTGTAAAATAACATAACTGTAGGCTTGATAAAGAGTAGTTTGGGGTATAGGAAGGACTGGTGTGCACTTGAATTACTGCACTACTGATTGTTATTGCTGCCCATCATAGTGCCTATTAATAATAATCAACCTGTCAGATTTCGGCAAACTGGAGCTGTTACTATTCCATTACTCAATTGTTCCTGTCGCTGTTGCTGGGAGGGTATGCTCTCTCTCAAAATCTTACCTTCCTTTTAAAAGTATTTATATCCATTGAGACTAACTGATTTCTTTTTGGTTTTTAGTCTGATCAGGTTTAAGTGTGTATATACATATGTGCATATATACACACAATACTATGTCAGACATAAATATAAATATATTTAATTCACTGTATATACATATTATTAGCTTCATTTCACGTTAATTATTTAAGTAAAGGACTACTTAAATAGCCAGTTTTTCTACCTTGTATATATACTTCAAAGTTCTTGCCATCTCAAAGCTACAGATTGGGTAGACACACACACACACACATATATATATACATATGTATATAAAATGCATATATATACATATATGTGTGTACTGGCAATTGAATACACTCTAGAATCACTTAAGACTTTTACCAATCCTTTGTTTACCTTTTCATAGTTAATATATTCATTGAAAAATACTATGATGCTATGATTTTTTTTTTTTTGATACTTAAAATTCCCAAGAGTTCATTAGCCATAATTAAGTGAGATCCAGTTCAAACATCTGGATTTAGGATGTGTAAAATAAGCTACTATTTTTATGTGTGCAATATAAATTTTATTTATTGTCGTTTGTAACATAAATGGAGCTGCAAGTGTACATGGTGTTCTTCAAAATAACAGGATCCTTGCCTTGAAGGCGTTAAACTCTTAAGGAAACTGGATGTTAGAAGTAAAAAATTGAGCATTGAAGTTAGTAACCAAAATTACTAGTTCACTGTATAATGCTAAAACATTGATGATGTTTGCACATAGTTAGTGAGTGTGATGTGGACAGACTCAAGCTGTAATAATATAAGCTAATAGTATAAATCTGGAAACGGGTTCCTCAGTAGTTGGCAGTGTGCTCCTAGCGATTGAAAGCAGCACTAATGCGCTGTTTATATGCAAAAGATGCAATGTATTATAAAGATATTCAAGTTCTGCCACATTTTCTTATTTTTCTTCTGAAAGCCCCAAACTGCCATGTCCCTTAAACTTGAGTCAAACACAAGCTTATTTGCACTAAAGAGCATGGCCAAAAAAAATAAATAAATAAATGACAGGGTGGAAAAGCTGTTTAGAACCTCTTGAAACAATTGGTTCTAATGGGAGAATTTCACATTTGTCTATTTGAAAGCTATATGGTCCAGGCAGACAATCTGTCAGTTCACTAATTTAATAATGCACTTTACCTTTTGTATATAGAAGATGTACATTTATGCCACTTGACCGGCAGGACGTGTTTCAGTAACTGTGTATTAGAATCTGTAGGGTGATCTCTTGCATGCACATGTTTGTGTTAGAACTATTGTAACAGGTTTCCATGAAGGCAGCGTAATGGAGAAGGACAGAAGATGGTTTTAAAACAAATCTCAATTCATTTAACAAGGAATTGTAAAGTAGATTTCATGTCTGTATTAAGGACTAGAATAATATGGAACTGTTTCTAATCCAGATTAGTATTGCAGTTCAGACCATATCTACCATAATACTCCAAAAATTAAATTGGGGAATCTGGCCAGATAACTTTTTTAATGATTCTGTTTCATTGTTAATACGTGTTTGAGTTACTAATTAAAAAAAAAAAAAAAAAAAAAAAAAGGCAGTACATGCTACAGCTCTAGAATTAAAGTATGGTTAGCTTATGTTTCAAAAATCACCCAGACTAAAGAAATAAAGTTTCAGGTAGGAATATAAAGAGCTTAATAAGCTGCTAAAATAAATAGGATGTTTCAAAATCTGCAGAAGTATTAACCTTTACCAACTCAAAAGGGACTCTGGGAGATTTGGTGTAACCTTCTACCCTGAATCCATTTGAAGATGTATATTTGAAAACTAGACAATTGTTGCTTAATAATAGGTTGTATGTACTTTACTGAGAAACACTGTGTACTAACAATTCATCAAGAGTGTGCTATATTTATTGCATTCATTTTATATCCATAGATAAGAAATATATATAGTCATCCTATCTTAATATAATCATGTATTTATATTGTAATTTTGCAAATATTTTCAGTAAAATAAACATTTATCTGAGCTGCACAATTTTGAAGAGGATGAAATTGGAATATACTCTCAGACACTCATTTTTAATCAGCAGCTACCATTGAAAACTGATGTATTTATTGTCACTCCTTGAAATTGTTTTACAGCTTACTTAATATCTAAATGAATGAGGCTTAATTTGAATTTTAATTGGTTGTCTGAAAATAAGGTGGTTTGGGTTTTTTGGTGGTGGTGGTTTTTGGGGGGTTTGGTTTTGTTTTCTTTTTTCTTTTTTCTTGCTTCCTTCCAAATGACTTTCACTGAAACCATGAAATCCTTTTCCAAACTTTAGATAAGGGCTTTGGTGAGTCACCACCTAGCCTGAAGTATGTCTTTACCAAACACCAAACATCTTTGGCAGGATGTTTTATCAAAAGAAGTTAACATTGAATCTGTGCCTCCAGAATACTACCGATATAAGATTTGTCATTGCCAGATAAGATCTATTAAAATATTTCTGAATTTTTCTCAAGGATTCCTTGACTTCCATAGAGAAGTCAATGGCCAGCTCAGCAGAGGAAAAGAATAAGGCTATAAAATCTGCAGTACTGGAGCACTGGAGAACCAGAAAAATGTGCTTCCCAATTCAATATTGTATGAAAACTGGATTTTTAGATCATAGTAAGTCTACCATAAAAAAAAATATGGTCAAATATACATGGGTAGGTTTTAGGGGAAATTTTTACTAGCTCTCTTACATAATGGAAAAAAAATCACTCTTGGTTCTTAATCTGATATGACATTTTTCAGTCATTTAAGTTTATTTTAGTAGTAAATTTTAACATTTTTGAATAGGAAAATGATACCAGATTTATGGGACTGAGGATTTAGTTCAGTTGGTGAAATGTTTGCCTAGAATGCACAAAGCCCTGGATTTGATTCCCACACCACATAAACAAGGCATGGTAGCACATGCCTTTGTAACACCAGCAATGGGGGAGGCAAAGGCAGGAGGAACAAAAGTGAAAGGTCATCCTCAGCGACATTGAGGGCAGCCTGAGCTACATGAAACCCTGCCTCCAAAATAATAATAAGATGCTCCAGTAGGCAATGAAAAGTAGCAACCAGTGTTATCAGTTTCTTGTATTGTCCTTTTAGAGTCATTCTCATGGGCCAACATGTATATACATATATTCTTTTAAATGCATAAACACATGCACCTTTCCATACCTAACAGCATCAACTGTAGGTCTGGCACTTACGGGTTTTCTTTTTACTAACTATCATATTTTATCTGGTTAGCATATCATTTAGTATATCATACAGGTAGTAAGAGTCCCATTGGTATTGACTTAGATTACAGATAACTGTATTTATCTTTAAGTGTACAAATATACAGTTTCTCATCCTAGTTTCCTTCACCCTTAACCACCTCACCTTCCATATCACCCTATTTTTCCCTCTCAAAAAAAATACTGGTATTTTTCTTCTGCAGTAACACATTAGTTCAGGGGATCTGGATATTAAGTAATATAGCCAAGTGGAATGTGAGGTTAACTATGTTCTCTGATGAAAAGCGCTGATATTTAAAAGCTTTAACAAATTATAGCTTTCAATTTTTACTAACTGTGCTACTATTTTTTTCATCCAAAGACCTTGCTATTATGAGTACATAAACATTAGAACTGTGGTGAAAGATTTTATGTTATGGCTTTGTTGAAATTGCTTGATTTATTAACATGAAACATTTTATCAGTATAATAAGAAAGGTATAAACTTTATTTAACAGCTTTTCAATTCCATGTCTACACAAAGAAACAGCACTGTTCCTAATCATTTAAAGCACTGTTTGGTTTTTTATTTTGTTTT